ATATATATATATATATTTATTATTAATATTCTTATTTTTATTATATAGAGATAGATAAATTCAGAGAGAATATGATAATAGGTATGTCTTTTAATGTGTGTGTTTGTGCGCAATATGAGTGCGCATGCAAGAATTATACATATATGCTTATCCGTATCTGTGTAAAATATGCACGAAGCAGCGAGCCAGGGCAAAGACATAAACCCTAAGCCGCAAACCCCTAAACCCTTAAACCCTGAACCCTATACAAAAAACACTAAGCCCCAAACCCCTACACCTTTAACCCCCAAACAGGCCCTAAAGCCCCAAAACCAACGTCCCCAGAGCCTGAACCCTAAGACCTTAGGCTTCAAGCCCAGGGCCCATAATCCCCACTGGAAACCCTAAAAACCTCAAGTCTTAAGGCGTGAAGCCTCAAGCCCTAAGCAACGAGCGAAGCCGAAAGCTTGAGGTTTTAGGGTTCAGGCCTCGACCGTGACATCCCAAGCCCTAAAAACAAATGGATAGTTCTGTAAATTAGGGTCCCTTTTTTGGGCCCCAATGATGGCACCCTGATAAAAAGAGCTCTAAAAAGGGGACCCTGATTTAGAGAACCCTTCAAAGAACGCCTGACCTTCTTCTCTGTGTCAAAGGTGGCCATTAGCTTCGGCACCGGAAGCATCCGGGGGAACTTCGTCGAGGAACTGGTTTGCTTCTCAGAGCCCAAAGGCGCGCGCTGATCGACTCCGAGATCCTGCCAGTGCCTTTAAAGGGGCACTAGAGGGTACTATAATAGGGTCCCCTTTACAAGGTACCATAGCGTACTGTAACCGAGACCCCTTAAAGGGTACTTTACTACAATAGGGTTCCCTTTATGGGCTTGTGGGTGGGTTATGTCAGGCAGAAGAGGCTTTACAAGTTTATACATTGCGTTTGTAGGGCTCCAAATTCCTGAAACCCTGAACTTTGAGGTTTCGATGTCGACAGCGAAACCTAGGAATCTCATGAATCTCACGGCCTTCACGGCTTTCCCGACATGAAGCTTACGAATCGCGATAAGCGACAACTCCAACCGGTTGAAATTGGATGCCACGATACTGGCCCCCCCCATCTCTCAGCCTAGCTGATGCTTTCCGGGTGTCGGCAGTCACTGGCTTAGAGCCCTTGCCATAGGGATGCATCCAATCTCGCAGAGTCTCACAGAAGGTCGAGCGGAATTGTTACTGCAGTATTGCATCCGTGTCCACGGTTTGTGCAGATGTGATACATGAAAGGGCACCCGAATAGACTGCAACTTCTCAGGATCTACGAGGCCTTGTTTAAGCAAGATCCTCATAAGATCCTTGTACTGTATACCATGGTATACCATTAATAAATGCCATTCGCTGCTAAACCCCAAACCCTAAACCCTGCAGGCACCGAGGCAATGCCGGACAATGGCTGTGCTCGGATCAACCTAGTTACGGCCTCCTGGCAAGAAAACCGAGACTTAACCATACACTGAACCCTGAACCCTTATATGCTAAACCCTAAGCCCTGTTGTAACCTAAACCCTACACCTTCGAGAGTGCAGTTTCTTGAGGACTTGAAAGGGTTTCGAGGGCTTGGTTTGCACGCACAACGTTGAGTTATGCAACCGGTATACCATGCAGTCTGTCGTTGATAAATGCAAGACCGAAACCCTATGCGCCGCCCTATGCTCCGCAGGGTCCAAGTAACCAGACCCTGAACTCTAAACCCCAATCCCTGAGCCCTGAAATATTTTGGAGTTTCAGAAAACGCCAAACCCCAAATAGAGACCCAGCAGACACCTTAATGTAGATGTCTTAATAGTTATATTGGTGAAAATCTCCCTTTTTGCCCCTAGTGTCATCAAATATAGCATACCGATCCAAAACCCTGTCCTAATTATTAGACCCATAAACCGTAAACCTCTACAAACCATTGAATTACAGAATAGGTCGCGAGGGCGGTGTGCGTTTGCGACAGTCGT